AAGAAATGACTGTACTTGGAAGTAATACACCGCTACAACAAAACCCACAAAACTCAACAAGCCACCAGAGCTTCATTGTGTTTAATATGCCAAAAGTAGACAGTTAACATGTCCCTGGAATTATAAACACATTTGTGATTCACGAACAACCTTAATTTCATTTAAGTTCCTTTATGTTACAACAGCTAAAAGGTTCCCTTGCTCTTGCAATGCTTGGCCATGGCTCACATGCACCACAGCTCAGGACCTAGATTATTGGCCAACCTTAGCCAATCTTAACTCAGATTGAAAAACTTCTTCAGAAAATTTCCTCAGATTAAATCCAATTCCCTTTGGTGGACTTTGACTAGGCCACTCCAAAGTCCTTTTTGTTTCTCTTAAGCCATTAAGACGTCAACTTGTTGGCGTGTTTTGAATCATTGTCCTGCTGCAGAACTCAAATCTGCTTCAGCTTGAGGTCCAAAACAGATAACCAGACATTCTTTTTCAAGAAACTTAGTTCATTTACCACAGCAAGTCTTTCAGGTCAGTTTAACACACAGGTTTGGATTTTTTCCCTTTAATAATAAACACCTTCATTTATAAACTGCAATTTGTGTTTATATGTGTTATCTTTGTCTGATATTTAAATTTGTTTGATGATCTGAAACATTTAAGTGTGGCAAACATACAAAAACAGGAAATCAAGAAAGGGGTGAACACTTTTTCACAACTGTATATATGCAGACTATTTCACCTTATGTAGGCATGTTGTGAGTAAAACCAGAAAAGCAAACTCTCCACCAATGATTTCCTTGGTGAAATTTGGTTCAGGATACACTTCTCCTGTATATAAACATGTATGATGAAGGCATTAGAGATTGTGTGCCCTGAAAAGCGCCAGGCCTTTGCAAATATCAGCCTGACAAGAAACACAGTTGCCGACAGGATTTCTGATCTTTCAGCGGATTTGGACAGCCAGTTGAAGTCATTTATTGTGTTTTCAGTTGCAATTGATGAAGGCACGGACATTACAGATGTTGCACAACTGGCAATTTTCATCCGCAGAGTTGATGACACATTGACTGTCACCGAGGAGTTCGTGGAGTTGGTACAGATACAGCTGATATTTTCACCGCACTCATCGGCGCGCTGGACAGGGTCAGAGTGGACTGATCCCGCGCTGTCAGCCTGGCTACAGATGGTGCGCCCTCAATGATCGGGAAGAAAGCAGGCGTTGTAAAAAAGTTCAGAGATAAAGTGCAATCTGCAAATGGAGGACGTGATTTTTGGACTTTTCACTGTATTTTGCACCAGGAGGCTTTGTGTTGCAAGTCACTGAAAATGGATAACGTCATGAAGGTGGTCATCCAAACTGTTAATTTCATCCGATCCAGAAGCCTCAATCACCGTCAGTTTGACAGTCTTCTCAGAGAGAAAGACCACATCTATGGCCTGCCATACCACACTGAGGTAAGATGGTTGAGCCGAGGTGCTGTGCTGAGGCGTTTCTTTGATTTACGAGAAGAAATTGAACAGTTTATGGAAGAAAAGGGCAAACCACTGTTAGAATTTCATTCCGCAGAATGGATGCAGGACCTTGCATTTATGGTGGATGTTACAGAGCACCTGAATAACTTGAACAAACAGCTGCAAGGAGGCAACAAAGTTGTCACGCAGTATTATGACAGCATACGTTCTTTCAAGTTGAAGCTGTTATTGTGGGAGATGCAGCTCGCTGGTGGTGATGCAGCCCACTTCCCCTGTCTGAAAAATGTGTGCACGATCCAAAGTGTGGCAGATATGAAGCGGTTTAAAGATAAAGTAACGGGACTGTTACTAGAGTTTGAGCAACGATTTCAGATTTTTGGTGAACTGGAGAAAGACTTCAAAGTTTTTTGCTCACCATTCACCGTGAATCCCCGTCAGTATCCAACTTGAAATAATAGACTTGCAGTGTGACTCGGATTTGAAGGGCAAATTTGCCGCAGCTGGCTTGAACACATTCTATCAGAATCTCTTGCCAGGTTACCCCAACTTGACAGCCCTCGCTGCAAAACTGTTGTGCATATTCGGAACCACGTATCTTTGTGAGCAAGTTTTCTCTGTAATGAGCATAAATAAAACAAAACTGCGCTCAAGGCTCACGCACAGGCACTTGAATCACATCCTGAAGTTAGCTGCCGCTCAGGATGTGAAGCCTGATATTGATGAGCTGGTGAAAGCTAAAAGATGCCAGGTATCAGGAGTCAAATAAACTATGCAACCCCACTGAAAGTGCTGCATGAGACACCCTGATGTAGTTCTGTGATCTGTGATATACTTCTGTGAATCGCCTCTCATCCGAGAAGCTTCTTCAGTTCTAAGGGTCAAATGGTGGAGAGTGTCAGATTTAAACCCAGTGGGAGTTTCCTCCCAAAGAGGGACAAAAGGACCCGCTGGTGATCCTCTACCTAATCACATGAGCCAAGGTGTGAAAAGTGTGCAGATGAACACTACTACTGAATGGGAGTGCCTAAAGAGCCAGTTGTTTGCTTGTTCTCTGCTTCAGGGAGCAGTCCTCTACTTTTCACTCTTACATGTACCAGCCCTCCCTCCCCTCACCTCCCTCATACAACACATCACTTGCACACAATCAAAGGAAATTAATATGGTAAACTGTGAAAATCTACCGATAATTTTACTGTTATTGAATGGAATAATTATGAAACAAACACCTCAGTTTCTGACATTTAATTGTTTCTGTTTCTTGATTTAGCTGAGAACTGATAAAACACATTATTATGCTGTCAGATATGAGAACACAGATCTTTCTTCTCCAACTTACTGTAAGCCAAAGCTTCATATTAAACATTTACTGTCTGCATATCTTTTCAGTGTGTTAAATTTTATAGAATTTAAATCACTGTCTCTTTAAATTGTCATTTAAAATAATGTTGCCGTGTCATCCTAGGCCAGGTTTCAAAAGATGGCAGTTTATAACAGCTGACTAGATAGCTCGATTGACCGTGGAGTCAGTCAGCTTTGACCTGAATGAATACCAAACTACTTTACTTATTCTCCAAGCAGGAATGTTAACAGAAGTTAAACAAGAACCAGCTAGAAAAATATTAACAAAGTAAACAGTATGCTCAGTTGTTCTAAAATGTCATGAAAAAGTCAAAAAGCATATCTGGACATGCAGACAGAAGATATTATTCGTTTTATTCAATAATAAAAGTAATAGGTGCAACATGAACTCTTGGATGAATGTGTAGTTTTGTTTATTGTGCATGCCATCTTTGTCAGATAACATATTAGTGATGAGTTGTACTCTAAAGATATTAATATTAATCCTTATTTATTTCTATCAATGACATATGTCAACATGTTTAATTAGAGAGTTTACTAAAAGTACTAATTTTCCAATTCTCTAAAGCTCTACTGCAGTGATGACATGTATTCCAAAAGATATTCTCTCATCTAACACATCGTTCTAAAATTTCTTATAGATATTCAGTTGAATTGCTTAACCTGCAACCTACAGACAGGCCTCCATACAGAACCCAGAGGGATGTTTTTGCAAGTGTTTTACTGACATTGTAAATCAGTTTACTCAGGATAAAAGTTTCAAGTTGTATCACAGAAATGTCTAGATTTTTGTTTTATAAAATATGCAATAATGATAATAGTATAGTTTCTTTAAATGACATTAAATACATAATTAATAATTCTGTGAAGTTTTGCTATTTACAAGTTCTAAATTAAATTTTAAGTAAACTGTGCAGTTATTTAATTGCATTCCTCATCAGAAAAGTTTGTTTTATTATTGCTGTCTACAGAGCTCTGCAGACAGCAGCTTTGGTCTCATGGTTTGTAATTTGTTCTTCACCTCCATATGGCTTGGTTATCTTACAAAATAAATTAACATGACTTCATCTGTATAAATCTTTGATTTCAGGTAGTTTTAGTATATCAGTGACTTAATTTAAGGTGATTTTTTAAATAGTCTGAATACTTTACAAACATTTAAAGATTACATGTTCCTGTTTTTTACCCATGAAGTATGGAATGATTCATGACAAGGAAAAAAAATTGACAATAAACAATTTTAGTTTTAGGGTGTAAAGGGAATGAGTCATAATGGTTTCCAAATACAGTGCGAATAGTTGTCAAATCATGGCAACATGATACTAGCTAGTCATTAAGACACTTGACAGCACCAGTAACTATTTTGTAATTAAAATATAATTTTATGTCTAAATAGTAAATCATGGTGCCGAAACACACAACTGACACATCAATGACAACTGGCACGTGTACAGAATTTCATCCATCCATTCGCTTCCGCTTATCCTTTTCAGGGTCGCGGGGGGGCTGGAGCCTATCCCAGCTGTCATAGGGCGAGAGGCAGGGTACACCCTGGACAGGTCGCCAGTCTGTCGCAGGGCCAACACACAGGGACAGACAACCATTCGCACTCACATTCATTCGCACATTCACACCTAGTGACAATTTGGATTTTACAATTAACCTATCCCCACAAGCTGCATGTCTTTGGACAGTGGGAGGAAGCCGGAGTACCCAGAGGGAACCCACGGAAACACGGGGAGAACATGCAAACTCCACACAGAAAGACCCCGGCCTGGTGTTGGAATTGAACTCAGGACCTTCTTGCTGTACGGCAACAGTGCTAACCACCGTGCCACCGTGCTGCCTTTCATCCCAATCTTAAAAGTGAGAAGTCCACGGGTAGGTTTTTCATTGACTTTGAAATTAATATTAATGTAGCAAGAATGACTGAACTGTGAAAAGGGCAGAAGTCTGTCATGGAAAATGACATAAAAACAATCACATAATTTTTTTTTAAAGTGCACTCTGGTCTTTAAGCTCTGGACATTAAAAAAATCACTGGAGTTCTGTAGTCTTTGTGCCAGAAATTAAAGGAAGAAGGAAATGTTTCAGTGTTCTGGCTGTGGGGTGTGCACGTGGGAGGAGCAAATATAAACGTGACACACGGTTTATATATTTGCCACTCACTGACAGCTGGCTCACAAGTATAAAAAGAGGGACACGCGAGAACTGTGCAGTTACACAATGGTGTTAAGGAAGTGGATTCATTTATTGGCTTTGGTGAGCCTCCTGTCTGCAGGTAAGTCAGACCAACATTTGCATGTAACATAACTGTATGCAAATATAAAGTCAGGATTTCCTCTCTTGAACATCACTGATCCTGTTGTGTTTCTTTCCAGAATCAAATGCTCAGCTTGATGGTAGGTAAAAATAAGAGTTTCTCTGAGTAAAAAAAAAAAAAAAATCATAAAAGTTATATTTTTCATTTAATTATCTATGTTTTTGACATTACAATTCATTTCATCAGCGATACAACTACAAACAAGGAAAAAAATGTTTTCCATATTTCACAATGATTTATGTTGCTTCTGAAGTTTGATCCTGCTGATCTTTGTTTCAGTATGTGGCACTGCTCCACACAGCAGCAGGATAGTAGGAGGTGAAGATGCTCCACCTGGATACTGGCCGTGGCAGGTCAGCGTGCAGATATTTGGTAAACATTTTTGTGGCGGTTCCCTCATCAACAAAGAGTGGGTGATGTCTGCTGCTCACTGCTTCTTTCGGTGTGTAACACAAACGTCTGTTTAATCTTTATGCCTAAACTGATCCAGCTAGAACAGGGTAGAGGTGTGCAGATCGATCCAAATATCAATAGTACTGATATCAACTCTGACATTGATATCAAATCGATACTAACGCGATGCGATTGATACTTTGTGTTTGTGGGCACAAGTTCAAGTGCAGGTGGGGTGGGGGAATCAGTGAATAGCAAAGGTGATGTCTTTCAGCCTGCTGGTTCCAGGGCAGAGGCTCATTAGTCCCCTTCCCGATAGCAGAAAACTGGAAAAGCTGTTTGACAGATGAGTGGAGTTATGGGGTGGGGTGGCTGTAGCTCAGGTGGCAGAGCAGGTCAGCCACTAATCAGACGGTCGGTGGTTCGATCCCAGGCTGCATCCTGGCTGCATGCCAAATATCCTTGGGCAAGATACTAACCCCGTGTTTGCCTACTGGTGGTGGTCAGAGGGCCCGGTGGCGCCTGTGTCCGGCAGCCTCGCCTCTGTCAGTGCGCCCCAGGGCAGCTGTGGTTACAATGTAGCTTGCTATCGCCTGTGTGTGAATGGGTGGATGACTGAATGTAGTGTAAAGCGCTTTGGGGTCCTATGGACTAGAAAAGCACTATACAAATGCAGGCCATTTACCAGTTATCTGTAATGCAGAGGAGTTTTTGGGTGAGGTGAGTGCAATAGATGTCCTGGAGGGAGGGAAATGAATCACTCACAATCCTCTCTATTACTCTCACTACTCAATATAGCTTTTTCTGGCAGGACCCAATCAGGAGCCATTAGATACAGTAATGCAACTGGTGAGGATACTCTTAACAGTGCCTTTGTTGAAGGCGCTCATAATGGGGGTTGAAGCTCTTGCACTCCTCAGTATGTGGGGAAGTAGAGTTGTTGTTGTTAGGCTTTACTGACCAGTGATGCTGTGTTCTTTGAGCAGGAGAGATCTTCTGAGATGTGCACACCAAGAAACTTGAATCTAAGAAAGCTGCCTATATAGGTTAAACGTACTGACATTGGTATTGGCCCTGTATTTATTTGATATCAGATTGATACCAAATCTGCAGTATCGCAGAACACTGGGCTTTGACTAATATTTGTCAAGGAAGGCAAATGTCAGAATGGGAATACCGAAACTGCCAACATTCCTGAAACATTTCATCAACATAAATGTTAAAATACTGGCTCATGCATAAATACAAATACAATACAAATGTTTACAGTTCAATGTTTTGTTTTGTTTTTTCATCAAAACTTCTATATTTTCTTTTTCTTTTTTTTAACTTTAGTTCAAGTCCTTCTGGGTGGACGGTTTCTCTTGGTCTTCAGAGCCTGCGGGGTGCAAATCCAAATAAGGTGTCCAGAAATGTTGTCAAAATCATTTTGCACCCAAACTATGACAGTATGACCAACAACAACGACATCGCTCTGCTCAGACTCTCCTCACCAGTCAGATTCACTGACTACATCAGACCTGTGTGCCTGGCAGCGAGTGGCAGTGTGTTCAACAATGGCACTGATAGCTGGGTGACTGGCTGGGGTGCAGTCAAGGAGGGAGGTGAGGCTGTTGTTGGTGTTTCAGTGTTCATGTGTTCTGTGGTTCATTGGTTTGTGTGTAAACAGCTCCTCATCTTTCTTCCCATCAGTGGCCTTACCCTTCCCTCAAACGCTGCAAGAAGTGGAGGTGCCAGTTGTGGGAAACAGACAGTGTAACTGCCTGAATGGAGTGGGCACAGTCACAGACAACATGATCTGTGCTGGTGTTCTGGCAGGAGGCAAAGACTCATGTCAGGTAGGCTTCATCAGCTCATTTGGTTACATAATCAGGTGTTTCAAAGATTCTCAGATGTGTCCTCTTTATCTCTACAGGGAGACTCCGGAGGTCCAATGGTGAGTAAACAGGGCTCTGTTTGGGTCCAGTCTGGAATTGTAAGTTTTGGTTTTGGTTGTGCTCAGCCCAATCTGCCAGGAGTCTACTCCAGAGTGTCCCGTTACCAGTCCTGGATCAAGTCCCGCATTCGCTCTAATAGGCCAGGATTTGTGCAGTTCATCTCCAGCGGGCTGGACCCTGACAGCAGCTACACCTGTCCTGGTCTTCTAACAAGACCCTCAAGTAAGTCTCAGGTTCCAGTTTTTCAGTACCAATAAATGAATATGGATAAGTATATAATGTTTTCAAATTTTCTGTATGTGTAATTCAATTCAGTGTTATTATACAGCACCAAATCACAACAACAGGTGCTTCAAGGTGCTCTATATTGTAAGGTGAAGACCTTACAATAATAGAAAATAGAGAAAACCCCAACAATCATATGACCCCCTATGAGCAAGACCTGTGGTCAGTGGGAAGGAAAAACTCCCTTTTAACAGGAAGAAACCTGGAGCAGAAACAGACTCAGGGAGGAACATGACCGGTTGGGGTGAGGGGAGGAGGGTCATCTGATCCAGCCCTAAGTGTTTGCTTTATCAAAAGAAAAGTTTTAAGCCTAATCTTAAAAGTAGAGATAGTGTCTGTCTCCCAAATCCAAATTGGAAGCTGGTTCAACAGAAGAGGGGCCTCACAGCTGAGAGCTGTGCTTCTCATTCTACTTTAAAATAGGCTAGGAACGACAAGTAAGCCTGCACGAAGCACTCTAATGCTGTGATACAGTACCATAAGGTCATTAAGACAAGATAGCGCCTGATTATTCAACACCTTACATGTGAGGAGAAGGATTTTGAATTCAATTCTGGATTTAATGGTGGAGCCAATGAAGGGAAGCAAATATAGGAGAAATATGCTCTGTCTCTAATCCCTGTCAGTACTCTTGTTGCAGCATTTTGGATTAACTGAAGGCTTTTCCGAGATTTTTTGGACATCCTGATCACAATGAATTACAGTAGTCCAGCCTTGAACCTAAAGCATTTGCTTTTTTCATTTTTTGTTTCTTCTTTCAGTGTCAGTTTGTGGCAACACCCTCGTGAACAGTCACACAGGAGGAGACAAGAGCACTGTACCCGAAGGAACTTGGCCCTGGATGGTAAGTCTTCACCAAAATGGAGTACACAAATGTGGAGGAAGCTTAATATCTGACAACGTTATACTCACAACTGCACAATGCTTCTCTACGTAAGTACACAAACAGCATTTATAATTTTTAATTTTAAAATATGAGCTGTTTGAGATTTGTCTTTTAATTGTGTCTTCAATCCTCCTGACAGCACCAGTCCAAATGCCAGTGAATGGAATGTGTTTCTTGGTCTTAGACTCATAAATGGTTCTGAAGAGTTTGAGACATCTTTGGGTGTTTTGAACATTACAGTGAGCAAAATGACTGGCTCCAATATTGCACTATTGGAGCTGTTTGAATCAGTCAGTTTCAACAATTATATCCAGCCTGTGTGTTTGGACATTAGTGATTCAAAGTCTTTCCCCATTGGTAGTCAGTGTTTGGTGACAGGCTGGGAAAACAAGAACAACAGCAGAGGTAAGGGTTTGCTGTTTTAAATAATTGCAGTGTCTGAATATCTTTGGTTGCATTTGCAAATATGACTCCTACAGGTGCTGTTCTTCAAAACATGAAAACTCAAGTTGCAAGTTGTGGCAATCTTTTTGATTCAGATCAAATTTGTACTCACACCATGGACCTTCAAGAGGTAAAAACAATATTTATAATTGTATCCTAAATGTGCTTGGACTGATACTTTCAGGCTTGGTGTTTGTTGATCACTGATCATGAATCCTGTTTTATATCCACAGGGAGGTCAGGGCAGCCCATTGCTGTGCAAGTCAGAGTCATCATGGTTCCAGGTTGCTGTTGTAACAGTCTGTGAAAGTAGACTGAGCCATGGAGATGTTGATGTCTTTACCAAAATCTCAAGATTTGGGTCATTCTTAAAGGAGATTATTGATGAAACACCATCTGTTGCAACACTTTTAACAGGAAGTTCACCTGATTTCTCAGTTTCCTTATTGATTTTTTTTGCTGTCCTCATTATCTCCTTGTTCCTGTTGTCATGATTTGCTCTTGTGGGTGGTTGGTGTAGTTCATTATTACAAATTACCAACAGATGCCAAAAATCTTTATTAACACCCATTCATATTTACTTAATGTAGTTATGATGCTCAGGTCGATATGAAGAAAATTATTCATGTGAATATTTCTAATGAAGTTTAAAAATCGTTTTTTTTTAATATTTTGGAGTGTGATGGTATGTTTCTCTAAACAAATTATACAGGAATATGTCTTCTTTGTGCATTCTGAAGCTGTTGTCTACTTAAAAATTGTATAAATCGTGTAAGAGCAAAATTGAAATGTAATTCTAATTACATACTTATTATAATAAACATTGATAATCCATCCATCCATTCGCTTCCACTTATCCTTTTCAGGGTGGCGGGGGGCGCTGGAGCCTATCCCAGCTGTCATAGGGCGAGAGGCGGGGTACACCCTAAACAGGTCGCCAGTCTGTCGCAGGGCCAACACACAGGGACAGACAACCATTCGCACTCACTTTCATTTGCACATTCACACCTAGTGACAATTTGGATTATCCAATTAACCTATCCCCACAAGATGCATGTCTTCAGACGGTGGGAGGAAGCCGGAGTACCCGGAGGGAACCCACGCAAACACTGTTGTGCGGCAACAGTGCTAACCACCGTGCCGCCAAAAAATGATAAAATAATGTTATTTTTTTGTTGTTGTTGTTTTAGATAACTCAGGGCTAAATATTGCATATTTTGTTTATTTGTGAGCAAAGCCATTCACATTATCAGTAGTGATGTGCGGATCGATTCCTCCGATACCAGTCATTTATGTTCTAGAATCGATTCTCACATTAAAATATCGATATTTTAGTAATTTAGGGTAAATTTGTAGTTTACCATTAACATGAACACAGTGGAAAGTAACTATATCATTCAGATTGTCTACATTCGAAGGAACTACTCCCTCTTCCGCCTTTCATAGTCATGTGCGAAATACGGCTGCATAAATGTCTCGCAGCCCCTTGGCGTGCGCACTCACAACAATGGCTGAGCGTAATTGGAGTCATGTGCGGACGTATTTTACCTCCACAAACAGCTGAGATGGTTTGCGATACATGTGGCAAAAAAGGGAGGTGTTGTAGCCACACCACTAACATTGTCAAACACCTCAGAGTAAATCATATCACAGAATATGATGAGCGTATGTTGAGGGACAGGTGCTGCTAGGGCGAGAAAGACGCCTCTCACTGAGTCCTTTAGTGCTGCAGGCAGGCAAGGTGTTCAAATAGCGCACAACTTCAGTTTTTTTATTTCTATATGATGAACTCTGCATTATTAAGTGATAAGAACAAGTAATCTGTTGTCCTGTAATCATTATGATGCTATAATTTGAGATACAATAAATAAAATACGTTTTTGCACAAAGTATCGGATCAGTATCGTCGATACCACCCTGAATTTTACTTGGAATCGGATCGGAAAGGAAATCAGTGGTATCACACATCACTAACTATCAGTGACAGTTTTAACAAATTACAGCTTTTTCCACAAGTTAAATGCTTTTAAGCATATATACTGAATTTCATAGATTTACGTTCATTTTCTGTGATTAAAGGTGTGTCTTTGCAATGGAAGTAGTAGTGGTCCACAATGGAAGCAGGTACATGGTGACATCTGGTGGCCAAAAATATGAAGTGCAGCTTGAATCCACAAATAAAATGAACCGCTTTATTATGCTTGCCCACTCTGCAGAGTTCACAATTTTGTGGGCCACCGTTGTGTTGCTTTGAACATGTATTTTTGGGCGGTGAAAAAATTATCATATGTATTTGTTTAAAAATAAATTTGATCAATAAACTTTCCTTATTTAAACATGCCATGGTGCGGTCTTTCTTTGCCTGTGATTACTTGATGTTGGTAAATACAATAGATGAAAAATACATATAATATACATATAAGACAGCTAAGACCTGGCTCTCTGTAATAACTGGGAAAAAGACCAAAATGCCAATGTAAATTAATCATATAAAATGGTTCATTTGTGAGTCTATCACTGAACATTTATTTGTGATAATACGATAATGTGGAAAAATGTAAAAATGTGTGCATGACTTGCATGACTAGTTGGGATTTAAGTTTACAAACTGACAGTTACTTAACACAATGTACCACTGAAACACAGCAAATATTATTGCTGAAAATGGGTCTCTGCAGATATTCCTTTGAAACTCATTCATCATTTATGATAAATGTTACTTTTAAACATTCATATTTCTTATTAATTTTAAAAATATGAAATAAATTTCAGCATTTTTAGAAAATAAGATGTTTCTAATTCACTTCAAACTTTTGAGCTGTAGTGTAGAATGCAGTGATAGTGTATGGCTCTGGATTATAGTGGATGATATAGGACTATCAGGACATGGAGAGACGATAGACGCTACCAGAGCTTCAGGTTTACATGTGAAGTCAATGGAGGAGCGCAATGAAGCACGACTGGGGGTCGCGCGAAACTTCAGAAGCACATTTGCATCGCGAAAATGCTTTTCTGCCTGATTCGCGCAACCAAGTAGTGCGACTGACAAGTTTGAAGCTTGAAGTAAAACACGTGCTGCAGTTTATGTGGTGCATTTTGTGCATTTGCGCTTATCGCGTCTACCGCTGGAGTTGGAAAAATCTGAACTCCAGCCTGCAACATCCAATCAGGAGCCTGGTGATGTGATGCTCTGACCTATTTCAAAGAGGCAGGTCCAGCCGAAGCCATTCATTCTATCAATCAGTAGTTTTCTGATGAGGCAGGCTCTCCAGGGCAGAAACAATGTTCTTATTTTTCTCCTCATTCTCCCTGAAGCTTTTCCAATTTAAGCTGGGTCCTTTTATATTTATGTTTAATGTTTTTCTGTTTGAGTATCTTAATTTTATTTCAAATAAATTTTTGTAATGACTTATGTGTAAAGCGTCCTTAAGTTTACACTGCTGCTCTAGAGACGCTCTCTTCAAATGCTAGATCGACAGCTGCCATCTTGCAAACATACCGTCTGGCACTACTTCCTCCCACATTTCCGCTTCACAGGCGTGAAAATTGCACATTTTAAAGCGCCACTAGTTCTCTTTGGACCCGCTTCGAGGTGCGAATGTGCACGCGACCAGCTAGGGGCCTCTGGCGCTTTTTGGTCGCGTCTATTGCGTTCGGTGTGAACGCACCGTTAAAACATTATGAACTGTCTTGTTGTAGAGAAAGTGGAGTCTTTCATTCTTAAAATGCTACCAACATTTCTGATGAAAGAGCTAAAAAATATAGTCTTGGATTTGAAATGATGACAAAATCCTCATCCGATACAGACAGATACATACATACAATAAACAAGTTTGAGGTCAGATTAAAAAGTCATTGTTTTAAATAGTCACTCTCGTATTCAAAGGTCACACGGTCATGTTACTTTTAAACATTTGTATTTCTTTAAATTTCTGATTAATTAATAAGTTTCCCTACAAATCAAAGCAGGGAACACTCTTACATCACACTGACTGGAAAAACCTGTCTTTCATTTTTACCTCTAAAGTTTTATCTGCTTTTGCCCTCTCACTAAATATTGAAATAGTGCTAAAAATACATGCCAGAGTGTCATAGTTCTGTTTGACTTACCAGTCTTTAGAAATTACATAAAGTTAAATTATGTTTACAGTCAAAATCATGGAGATACATAGAAGATTTCAAAGAGTTAACTAATACTGTGAAAGTAGACACCGGCGAGGACAGGTGGTGCTGTAGGGTAGGGTAAAGCTGGAAAAAGGAGATTGTCTTTTTCCACATCTTGAAGTTCAGGCTGCTAAAGAATCTGCTCCTCTTTGTTTTGCATGATATAAAATGAATACTGCTTTATGTCTGAGATGACATCTTATCCAGTACACTGGATTCATTTAGATGTGGAAAGACATTTCATTGTCAGCTCATTAATTAACTAATAACAAAGATATAAATAAAATACACAGACCATTAAAATAAAGGTTAGATTTGATTTTAAAGGCCCAATCTTTCTTGCTGGACTTACAGGCTTGAAAATCTACATAAATATATCCTCTTAAGACAAATATCTAGTGGTGGTTTCTTATTTACAATAGGTGCTCCAGTTTTATGGTCCCGAGTCTTGAGGACCTCGACGACCAGGTAGGAACCTTTGTTACAGATCATAGCAAATGACTAGGCAAGGGAGTGATTTGAGACACAGCAAGCTGTTGTCTATTTAATTAATCAAATGTGGTAGCATGGACATTTCTACACACCATGTTCACCCCTGAAATTATCAGGATGGTCTACATCTGTCATTCAGATTAGATGTACAGCTACAAATGTCATCTTTGTTACTCTGCTGAGGGTGCACCTGCAGCCGTCCCTGGATCATCTTCTGTCATTTCAATTATCATCTGTTTGTATTTACTCTTGAAAAATCCAGCCTAGAAGTGAATGAAAAAGCACATAAAACACAGCAATCATATATTAGAGTTCCAATAAAAATGTAACCAAGCTGACAAAAAATGAGAAAAAAAAAACTTGTAAACTTTTAATTGAAAAAAGTATAAAAAGAGTCTTTCACCTTATACAGGCTAGCGGTGAGTAAAGCTAGAAAAGCCAGTCCTCCCAGGGATCCTCCAATGATCTCTTTGGTGAAATTTAGCTTAGGATACACCTCTACCTCTGCTTCAATCTGACAGATGAAGTGACAGAATGTGAATAAAATTAAAGCTCTTAATATGCCAAACAAAAGAAAATATTGTATAATCACCTTGCGAACAGGAGGATTGTTGTCAGACCCTGATGCAAAGTAGATGTACTGGTTTTTGTTGTACTCCAGAGTGGCAGTGCTGGTCAAGAGGAATTTGGCAGACTGAAGCCCAATCTAAGGGAAAAAAATACATCGCGAGTTGACCCTAAATTAGATACTGTTTGATTTAACAGGTAAATAGTTATGTATCTAAACATTTAGCAAACAATCCAAAACACATTAATTTAACATAAACTACCCATCCATTACCTGCTCTATCCATCCTGAACTGAGGTTGGCAGAGATTTCATACATCCTACTCTCCCGTATCCCCATGGATGTGCTGCACTTGAACAGTCTGCACTTGGCTACAGAGCAGTCCTGAGAATGATTTAAACAAGACTGAATCCAACAAAAACTGTGATAGCTGAATTTGAGATAGGTGAGGTGAATGTTAAAATCTAAAAGAGGTTGAATTTCAAAAGCTCAAGTGCAGAGGTATACTTACAACCACCTTATTTTTTCTGATCTGAGAAACAAAAGTTTTGACAGGTGGTTCTTCGTCAATTCCTCTCTGACAGTCTGCAATCTGAAATACATTTAATTCAGGTAT